CGTTATCACCACCCTTCACAGTACATATCGTGATATATATCGTTATCGCCACCCTTCACAATACATATCGTGATATATATCGTTATCGCCACCCTTCACAATACATATCGTGATATATATCGTTACCGCCACCCTTCACAATACATATCGTGATATATATCGTTACCACCACCCTTCACAGTACATATCGTGATATATATCGTTATCGCCACCCTTCACAATACATATCGTGATACATATCGTTATCACCACCCTTCACAATACATATCGTGATATATATCGTTATCACCACCCTTCACAGTACATATCGTGATATATATCGTTATCGCCACCCTTCACAATACATATCGTGATATATATCGTTATCACCACCCTTCACAGTACATATTGTGATATGAATTTTAAGCCATATCGCACATTCCTACGCTCCACTCGCTTTTTTCTTTGATTCTTGGGGGTGAACAACGCACAAAAAAGTTCAATCATCATATATCGATAAGTGGCTGCTTTCCCCTCCAAATACAGGCGATAGCCCAAACTTCCATATTGGTGGAGTTCTAGTCGTCAGATCTGTTTATCTATGTTAGACGGAGCCAGCTTACTAACAATACTGGCTCATGATATTGAACAATGACTTCAGATTGTAAAAAAGAAAGTCAGGTTTATACGAGGACAAAACAAGAAACAAGCAAAGCAGAATAATAAAGCTGGTTCACCGAGCAGCTTGAGCGTGAATCTGCGAGGGCGCACCCCGCCTAAATGACTGAACCACCCTGAGAAGATCTCTCTTCCTCTGTGTGACACGGCGAAGCAAGAAAACAAATTTGCTTGCTTTGTTAATTTCCACTGCAATTAAGTGGAGCCACATGACAGCCTGCCGAAGGGAGAGAGGGGAAAGAGACTGAGGGGGAGATGGAGCAGTGGGAGGGAAAAAGAAGAAGAGGAGAGAGGGAGTTAAAATCCTGAAAAAACAAGAGAGATGGCAAAAACAGACAGTGAGAAGGAGAGAGAGGAAGAAGAGAGAGGATCAGACCTGGTGTCCCCTCCCTCATAATAGTTTGTTGTGATAAGCCATTGTGAGAGAGGCATGCGAACAGCCGAGGCTGTCAATTTGATTAGCCATTATACTGCATGTTTAATTGCAGTTATTGGCTCGTCATTTCCCTGCTCCACTGCAGAGGGCACGCTAAGCCTCGACCCCACACTGCCATCAGGTGTGCGCCGAGTGCTTTATTATTACCACCAGGAAGAATCCCCTGACAATTCCTGCGCGCCAAGCGAGCTTGTCGTGCCCATTATACCTGCCAATCGGCAACGTGCGTAATTGTAATTTCAGTTTTTACTGCTGTGGCATAATCAAGTGGTGAGAGTATCTAATGCAGCTAAATGCAAACTATGTGATGTGTGCAAGTGAGTGTGTGCATGTGCGTTTAATGGCTTTCTGTTGCTGCCCACATGGCACGCACAGCTGTTGACCGTTGATGCACTGCCTAGTCAACAACCAAACCATGCACATCCCATAATGGAGCCTCGGTTACGGTTGCCAAGGTTGAATGAGCTCAGTCGGCACAAGCGCAGCGCACCACCTCTTTCTCTTGAAAAGTAACACACACGCACACGCACACGCACACACACACACACACAAATGAGCATTCAAACAATATGCTGCTGATTGTGGGCGGGCCAGTCGCTGCATACTGATTGACTGACAGGTGTCAGAAAGGTGTGGCTAAAATGTTACAGGATTGTTATTGAATTTAGAGCCCCCACCACCCCACCTCACGCGCACACACGCGCGCACGCACACACCTCTACCTCGTCATTCAGCTCGGCGCTTTGTTCCCGCACTGACACCATTTCAATTTGCTCCACAAATCTGCAGCATTTTCAGCCTGACTGCCTGAGGAGCAAACCAGCTGTGAAATTGCCTCTCTCCCGGGAGTGTCGGATCCCCCCCCCAGCCCCCACCTCGAACCCCTCGCTTCTTTGCCTCCTGCATCCCAGACGGACTTACCCCCTGTAACACACACACATACACACATCCTTGGCCCTTGCACAGAAGCAACATGCAGGTTTAGGAGCAGAGAGAGCGACGACGGAGGAGAAAGAAACTGGATCAAACAAATTGATCCAAACGGCAACGCAACGAATCGACTC